CATTTTGCTGTATTAAATTAATCAAGATCTTTAATCTCTTACCATAATGAGAGCTCCTTGATTTCTCAGACATCCTTGTGATCGAGACTGTGATAGAAGCTTAGGTTGGGCTCCTTTTAGCTTGGGCTAATCCAGTCTGGATTTGAGCTGAGTTCATGCCAGCACCTTTTGCATTACCTTTCATCCTTGTCTAATTGTCCTGGAAAAATCTCAGACAATAGTTTTCTGTGTATTCCATTCAGCCAAAAATTGATTGAGCTTGTGAAACTGCCACAGCAAGTCTGTCGGCTTGCTTTGTTCCTTTGTCTCTGACAGCTGTTTGAGACCTTCTCTAAAGCTTGCCTGTATCTATGTTGGCCCCAGTGCACTTACAGATGTTAGGAAGGTCACGATAGCAGTATTGGCTTCCACCTGCAACCTCTACATTTAATATTTTGCCCCTGAGTGCATCAAGAGGCTGTTCTCAGCCCTGACTTCAAATTCTGTAGCACAGAGGCTATTCAGAAGCAGCTAGTTATCTCAGGGTTACAGCTTCACTGTATGAATTTGGTGAGGTGTATCCACTGCCACAGAAGACATAACATTTTGTTCCTCACAAGAAGTCCATCACTGTCTTCATTGTTATTTTTTGTTTAGGGATATATATATATAAAGCATCTCCTGGGCTGGCTCTTGATTTTTCAACAGCTCAGGACCTGCCTCTGCCCATTACAGTTTTCTTCTGACTTCAGTCTCCTTGGCTCAGTTCACCTCTTGCACCCTGGGGCAGCTGCACAGCAGAGAGCTCCAAAATGACTCTTCTCTTGTTCTGCCACATAAAGCATCTCTGCAGCTTATCCAGCCTGTTTACACAACCCCTTTCAAAGCCTTGCCTGTGTCTGAGCTGCTCCTGCCCCTGCACACCAGTGGAAGATGGGTCCCAGAGAGCCAGCTGTGTTCGTCTGGTGTTTGGTGCTGCTCAGACGAGTATGGGTGAGCTCCTCTCTCCCCTGCAAAGCAGAAGACAAGTTCTAGCAGATTCTTCCACTGCTATCTAAGAAATGCATGCTTTTCTTGGTGGTAGGTTTGTATCTCAGAGAATCAGCCATTCCTCAGCTATTTTCTTGCTTTTTTCCCAAGATTTGTTTTTTAAAGTGATTTTTGTTGACAGTTGTTGAAAACAAAGCTTTCTTTTCTTTTCTTTTCTTTTCTTTTCTTTTCTTTTCTTTTCTTTTCTTTTCTTTTCTTTTCTTTTCTTTTTTTGAGGTTTTCTGCTTTCAATGGAAAGTCAAAACTTTGTGCAAGGAGGAAAAAAAAAATCCCCTCTGATCCACTCTGCTCAGAGAGAATCTTCCCTGCTGCAGGCCAGTCTTGTTTCTTTCCCCTGCTTCTTCTCCATCCTTTCCAGGTTGCTTTGCTGTTGTTTTCCTTTCTCTTTGCCAACAGATGTCCTTCCCTGAAGCAACATGTCTTATGCCCTTTCCAAGAGCTTCACTACAGTTCTTTCCTAATTCTGCCTGGCTGAAATGATCAGGGAGTGAATAGTTAATGCTGCTGATGTTAGAGCTGCTGCCCCAGATGAAGGAGAGGCAGCAGTTGCCCCTTTGAGCTGGGTCAGGTTTTCTGCAGTTCAGTCTGTTGGCACAGCATTGCTATGTTCCTGTTTGAATGGCTATCACAGGGACCATGACATTTCCTAGTCACATGCTGGGTGTGCATGTGGGGAGATACGGTTTTGAAAAAATGGGCTAGATACATCAATTGATACCTGGTGCCTACCTCATGAACTGTATTGCCCTACAAGTATGGAAACCAAGCACTCGGTAGCAGCCCTTCTATCAGTAAGATATTTGAGGAAGAGAAAAGGGACTGCTGTCCTGGAGAGACATACAAATTATCACTTGCATGAAACCCAATGCCCTCTGTTTGTTTTGGACAGGCTGGCAAACCCACCTGCATAAAAGCTGGGCCTGTGACCCCTACTTAAGAGTTCCCCAGCATGTAGGGTAGTAACAGAAAATTAATATACAAATTATATGTACACATCATCGATCTTAATCTGACTTGACTTGGTAGTGACCAAGAGCATTAATTTCTGCTGTTCTGTGGTTTGTATATACTGAGCTGGAGTGACTCAGGAATCATGTGTATGTCTCCAAGGCACTGTAGAGAATGACAAAATACTTATCAGAATTGCTGAATACACCAAGCAACAGGGCATCAGAAGGCCAGTGTTAGCAGTGCTCAATGTCCATGTTCTGATTCTTCTGAAAATCCAGTGTCTTCCACAATTTCCCACAGCTTGGTTTGGACCTGTATGCAGGATGGTGCAGGATGGTAGGAGCAGCAGTTCTACAAGTCTGGACAAATTCCAGTGAGTTGCATACCAAGAACTTCATATGGGGCAGACCACAAGATACATAGCACCTATAATAAAGGGCAAAGGGGAAGCAGACGTCTGTAGCTGATTTACCCACAGGTGGCATCTCAAATGGATGAAGGTGCTCCACAGTGAAGCAGAACTGACAAGATGTTGACCAGACAGCAGAGTGGAGCTTTCTGAAAAAAACATTTTGATCATACACAGAACTCACACTGCCTCACTTTGGATTTTCCATCAACCATAGCAGTGGTGCAGACCTGTTACTGGTCAGGTGGAAATACAGAAGCAGTACTCACACTGCTTGTGACCCTTCTGCAAGTGAGAAGCAAGGCCATGTTCTCATTCTTGTGCGTACGCATTTTGTGATCAGGAATTTCTTCATCTTGGACAACTCCTGTCAGGATGCATGAATTCCTCAGGAAAGCAAGCTGGTATTCAACAAGGTTATGGTGATTAAGGCCTGTGTCTCTTAATGAGTGCATTAGACACCCTAATACTGCTGGGCCTCAGACAGTAAATGCAACTCCCCATCTGTACTCTTTTTTAGAACTATTTTGATTATTAAAACCACTCTCCTCATGCTTTCTCAGATGTCAGCCATTAATTCCAAGTATTTTGAGTTGTCAGTGCTGCATTTAACCACATGAGAGAGGGGTACATGGGAGAGAAGAGATTAGAAAGGAACAAAATTCAGCCCGGACATTTCTGATATAAATGTCCACTTGCAAATAGATCAAAGTTTCAGCATGTCTCATGAAACTCCAATGTGTTTCATAACATGTCAGGACAGCTTCTTGCCTGTGGGAGATATTATAATTAGTGGTTAGCAAGTGTCTGTGCTCACTGTTCTGTTCTGGCTAGAATCACGCTCACAAAGCAGCTTGATCAACATTCTACTTCAAAGGAACAAGACTTATTTGTCATTTCAATACCAATGAGACATTAACTGATGTCAATGAAGGGTCAGATTCCATCCATAAATAAAACCCTGCTGTAAATGTTTTTATTAGATTTAGTTTTTAATTTTTGACCAAAATTATCTGGAAGATAATTAAGTCCCATCAGTGCCTGGAGTGCTAGAAGTAGATTGCTAGCAAATCTATCTTTTTCTATGCCTTAAATGCAGAGAAATAATGATGATGATAATGCACAGGCCTGTAGTTCTCCAGTATTGTGCAGTAAAATGACGGCTTTTTACACACCTCACTGCAGAAGACCAGTTGCTCAGACATCCTCGCCGTGGTTTCACAGCAGAGAACTGACATCTTTCAGATCCTGGTCTCCAGTGACTGAATGCTGAGCACCAGATTGCTGTCCCCATAAGGTCACTGAAGCACAGCTTGTATTTTGGGCTTTTTGTCCTTGGTAATGTGAGCCTACCTCTGGAGAAGAGAAGGCTGCAGGGTGACCTCATTGCAGTCTTTCAGTACCTAAAGGGAGTCAACTTTTTGAAAGGATAGATAACAGAAGGACAAGGGAAAATGGTTTTAAGTTGAAGGAGGGAAGATTTGGGTTGGATGTCAGGGGGAAGTTCTTTACAGAGAGAGTGGTGAGGTGCTGGAACAGCT